AGGACGCGCATGTTGGAGAGAACGTGGACACTCCTATAGGTCAATTTCTTCTTTTAGGAAACTTCCGCCGCCGGCTTGCCCGGGAACTACTTGTATAGGAGTTTCATGCCAACAGCTTTGGGCACCCTCAAGCAGGAACGGTGCATCGGGGCTTCGGCCAAGATTACAACCATGATGTTGCCAAACCTGCTGATGTGCATTTGGATTATCGGGCCTGCATTGAATGTCTTCGCTTCAATGTGTGGACTGCAGATTGTAGATCTGCTTGATTCAGCCTTCGGACTTGGAAACTGTGCCACACAGATGGCTGGTTACGCTGGCTCACGACTCAGGTTACATTGCCTCTGCTTGATTGGCTGGCTGTCAATGCATCTCTGTATTTTCTGCCGGACATTCTGATACTCATATTTGGTGAAGAAATGAAGGATAAGAGTGCTCGATTTCCTTCGAGAGGCATTTCTGGGTTGCATTGGTCAAAGGTTTCTTCTGTTGTTATTGGATTTCTGCGTAGGATCAATGAGTCCCTCGCAGTCCTTCTGCGAAAGATGTCACATGTCCAATCAATTCTACAGAATCTTGAATCAGTCATCACTCTTGATGCTCCTCTTGCGTTGACGCCCGAGGGTTCCGGGGCCACTTTGGCTTCTAGTAATCAGAAGTTCATGAACGCGCTTCCTAGGACGACATGGTGGATACAAGGCTCTCATTTTGGAAAGAGCCCACTTGAACTTCTGTCAATAATAGCTCAAGAGTTAGAGGACAACGAAGCTATTGAGAGAATATCAATCACCATTGTAGCGCATGGAAAACATTGGAATGGGGTGATCAAGGGCCTGCGTGTATACGCCTCAAATGAGAACCCTGGGCAGCCAGAGACCCAACTAAGTGTCTGGCTCAACCATGGAGGCTTATATGGAGATGTCAGGTCGCATGGACAAAACCTACGAAGGTACCTCTGGTGTGTGATTCCGACAGCCCAGCGCCAAGCCCCTTGCGATCTGCCTAATGGGGTTGACTTGCAGCTCCAGTGCAGCAGGGATCAACCGAGGATAGTTGGCCAGGTTGGGGGCCTTACTGTGGTTTGGAAGCCTAAGGGCTGGCTTTGTCCAGGAGCGGACATGGATCTTCTCAAGGGTGAACCGTTGCCTCTGACAGCTTCTCAGCTGGGTTTGACTTCACTATCAGAGTTGGCTTTGTTCAGCAAGCAGCGCTCTCCGCCTCAATTGCAATGGTTTATGCAAATTCAACGCCCAGACAATGCTGCTTACCATGACCCAAGGGCCAATTATGGTTTGTGCAGCAGGTTAGATATCGGAACTCATGGTTTGCTCGTGATTGCTGAGACAAGTGATTTGAGGAAGCAGCACCAAAATGCTGCTCAACGAGGAGCCATTTCAAAGTTCTATCTGGCCATGACCGGCATCCCTCCTCCTGGGGGTAGGCTATCCAGTCCAAATGAGAGAGATGTTACAACGGTGATGGGCACACGCAAAGGACCCCTTGGAAAATCGGTGTCGTTGATTCACCTCGTCGGAGGCAGAGGGCATCAGATCCGTCAAGACCTTGCTGCAGCTGGGACGCCAATCCTTGGTGATAGTATTTACGGGATCCGTCATGTCTCTGATTTGCAGCTCGCCTGTTTTCAGCTCGGAATCTGTCTCAATGGAAAGCGGACCGTAGCAGTCGGAGCTCCATCCCAAGAATTCATGCGGCTGTGGGCTCCTTCAAACGTTGATCTTCCGAAGGAGGGTATCCGCACTATTGATGATGGTCTGATGCTAATTGGGGAGACACGGAATCAAGAGGAGCTTCCAGACGACTTCTCTGACCTTGGATGATGGAGCCATGATCCGGCTCTTAGAGGCCAATCTTCAATCTACGCAACCATTTCCCAAGGCTGAGCTCGAGAGTTGGCAAGGCCGAGGAGCGGCTGGAGGTTATTTGTGGTCTGTGACCCGTGAGATCATCGAGCCCATGTGTTTTCGAAGCCTAAACTGGCTCCAACGGCCCGTTCACGTATTGTCGGGCTAGCCAGAATTGCTGTCGTGCGTTGCACTCCGTTGGAGGAGTTTGAAAGCAGACTTGACAGGGTCACCAATTCTGATTTGCTGCAAAGCTATCCGCGACTTTGAATTTCTTTTTTTTGAGGAGCGAGTAGCGATGATTTCGAGGTGGATCTCTTCTGGTAACTTCGACCACATCGCTTCCTTTGTAGAACCTCAGAAATCAGCTGGTCCGGGCTTTGTTCTTGGCAATAAGAAACGAGCCAGTTCAGCGGTGGCTGCTGAGTTAGTGAGGGGCTACGAAGACGGATCCCGACTTCAACGACTTGGATCTATAGTGAACATTGGCGATCGTTCGAAACCTAAGAGTGTCTTGAACCCCTCGCCTATTATGTTTCCAACTCAAGCTGTGGAGATCTCCAAAGGTAAACATCTCGACACGCGCATTTCCAGCTACTTTTCCATGCCTGTCGTCACAGTAGCTTGCCCCGAAGCCAACGCCTACGTGGAAACGCTCAACAGGGATCCCGCAAGCCCTTTTCATGTCCGGCAGACCCCCTTTGTTGTTGACTCCGGCATCTTCATGTTGAAAGTGATGAAAGCAATGGGCTTTGAAATTCAAGGCTTCAACGAGATCTTTGAGGGATCTCGCTGGGATTCAAGCACCTTCCAAAAGTTGGCGGCTGCATTATCCAAGTTGGACGAAGATCAGCTGAATTTCGTTCGGAGTGCCCCCTTCACATGGGCAGACGGTGCCCAAAATGACTCCCACGCGCGGCTTGGAACAGCAAAAGCCATGGTTGCAGCCATTCGAACAAAGGTTCCGAGGGAGAAACGCTTCATCTTGGGTGAGGAGCTATCCGACCTCATGGAAGTGACGGCGAGTGAAGGCTCGAGGAACTTCCAAGGGAGGGTCTTCAAAATTGCTATCGATGAGACTTTGAGAGAAAAGGATTGGATGAAGGCTATGGGCCCCCTCAAGGATGACAAGGTGAAGTCTCAGGGCGGCACATTCAGTAGCGGGTCAGGTGCAGTTCTACCGAGAAATCTGCATGGCAACGCTGAAACTATAGTCTCATTCAGGATTCCATGATCAAATGGGTTCGTTCCATTCGAACGCTCTTTACTCGTCTGAAGGGCAGGTACCAAAGATCAGGAAGGATGATCTACAACAGACCTACGATGAGATCGGAAGAAAAGCAAATGTCATTGCGCTTCCCCCTGGGACTGGCAAATCACTGTTTGTGAAAAGGATGGTGCGTGATCAGATGGAACAATATGATTCCCTGGGACTAATCACCAACACTGTGAGAAGCGATTTGGAAATTCCAATCAGGCGCCAGTTCTTTGATGCCATTGCATCTGGGCGTAAGACTGTTGAGGGGCGAATCCATCAAGGAAAGTTCACCACACTTACTCCTGGGAAGCGCATAATCTTTGTGAATGGAAAGGATCGCGTTGGTTGCTTGGTCTCAGCGGTGCGCCATTATGATTCTTTTGAGTCCATGCTTCGCGGAGAGGGCTGGGACAATTGTCTCCCTGATGCCCCAAGTGAACGAGAGGCTATCGCCATTGAATCCCTGCCAGGGTACAAGCAGAGGGCTAGCCAACATGGAGTTGTAGCCATTGAGCTGCAAAAGGAATCACCGGTTACTGAATCTGGATCGCATGGAGATGAACTGCAAATTGTTCAGCACGATCCGACTGTCATCCCTGCTGATCATCCAGCCCTGAACGATCCTCAGTTCTGAAACTGCCATTGCCAACTATTGGGCACGCAAAGCCCGTGACGGAATGCTTCTTCTTGCGAATCCTAGCCCTTTCTGGACGAGTGCCAACATCGCTTATGCAGGGAAACTGCCACTGAAGGTGATGAGGGATCGGTGGAAGGCCAGAATTGACCATGCCAGAAAAGAGGGCTATCAGAAGGAGGCTGCTTTAGCCAAGATCTGTTCCATTTGGGAAGAAAGTTGGAAGAGCTTGAAGTGCAAAGTGTTGAACCAAGATAACTTGGATCGGGAGCTCCATCATCTCTTCAGCCATGGTCAGCGGCTTCCTGCTTTAATGTCAGCACTTTCGCTTGCTAACCCCTCGGGCGGTGAAGACCCAACAATCGATCACAGCCCAGCCATCAACGGCGCTGGCCGGGTGGAGCTGGCGGATCTGTTCTTGGTGTCACCGCAGCAGGTGACAGCGGCTGTGCAGGGAGACAACGACGCTTTTGTAGGGCGCACGGCCTGGTATGGAGATGCGCTCTTTCACGTGGACGCTTCCACTGTGATTTTTCGACAATATCCTGCAGGTACAAAGGGTCAAATGACCAGGATTCGGCAGACTCTAGAGTCGAATTCCACCATGAAGACGTTCTTGTTAGAAGGCACCGACGTACAGGAATACTTAGGCAAGAATCTGTCAGTTCATGCTGTAGGATCAGCATTCGAATGCCTCTATTGTCAGGCGACCCCAACAGGCCGGGCCCGGGCCTTGCAATATTTCCTTCATTGGATCAGGTTGCACAAACATCCAGACTTTTTGGTACTTGACAAGATCAAGTCTCCTGGCCAGCCTGAAGAAGAGATTTGGGGATGGCATCAGAGTCCTTCATTGAACTCATTGGGTGACGTGGAGCCCGGCACCACCAAAGGGATTCAGAAGCAGTTTTTGACCTACTGTTTGCCATGGCCGGATGCTACAGCTCGCACAGTTGCTGCTGCACTCCGTGCCCTTACGGTTCGTGTGCCCATTTCGGCGGCGCGACACTTGGCAAGGCATTGGCCTTGAGCCTTGGTGGGAGGCGATGTTGGCCTGGCGAATCTGAATTTTCTGATTCCCAGGGGCGAGTAGCTGAAGCGAACAGTCCGCTCGTATGTCCGATATGTTTGATTCCCAAGGGTCCATGGTCAGTAGGTTGGAGGCCATCGCTAGTAGTTTGGAGGCCATCACTAATAGGTTGGAGGCCATAGCAATGAAAGTAGGTTGGAGGCCATTGCTAGCATAGGAGTTTCATGCCAACAGCTTTGGGCAGCCTCCTCCACAAGAAAAACTCAACGGAAACTCACTAGAGGGGCTGCCCAACCCTCAGCCAATCCCCTCCACCTGCCACCCACTGAAGCTCCCACCGTTCGCTACGAACCTTCCCAACATAGTACTCATCAAGATAGTACTCAACCTACCAACCATACCATTTCCACCAACCAATGATTGAGTATATGCTATAAGGCCATCCACATGGTCTCTCCATCCGATCCAGGCCATCCGATCCACATGGGTCTCCCCACATCAGGATGGATCGCGCGATGAATCTCCTGGTGGCCCTCGTGATGCAGCCGATCTTCGGCACCAGTTTCCTGCTCCTCGCTGCAAATCGAGCTGCCTCCGGGTCGACGCAGTCACCGGCCGGTTCGGTATCACCCCGGAGTGTCACCGGCAAGCGCTCTGCATCAGATCTTCCCCCCCAAGAAGACGACGACTTAGGTTCCCAACCATGGCATCGGGCTTGGGGTTTTTGGACCAAGTCCGGAGACCACCAAGTCCGAAGTGGTTTTTTGGGGGGTTCAACTCCTTGCGAGGTGGTTTGCACCATCGAATCCATGAGCATCTCAACCATGAAGCTTTGGATGGAAATCGAGCAAAATGGATCGTCCGAATCTGAGGATCATCAGGCTGCTCTTTCAGTGGCCTCTACCGCCTTGGCTGTCCGGCTCCATCTCCAGTCCTTCGGCACTGCTGCAGGGCACGGGTGAGAGTTCAGCCGGCCGAGCAGAACTGACTACTCATGTTTCAACTATGTAGTGAATCCCCTGGGTTGGGGAATCGTCTTTGGTTTTCCCGTTTCGCCCAAAGCAACTACAAGTCTTCCAGGTGACATTCATTTGAACACAAAGCATGCAGATTGTGTGGAAGAGAGCCGTCATGTAGACTCCTTGAGGAGTCAACCACCCCAGACATGGATTGCAAAACCTCTTGGTTCGCTTGGGGGGGGGTTGAGATCTCATCGTTTGAGTCTACATTCTTTCTTCATCTTTGGAAAAGCTGACCTTCGGAAGTGGCCATTGGTCCCATGGGGGGGGGCGCGCTGGGACGGCGGTGATGACGAACCCATGACGGCGACGCCGGGCTCCAACCCGTCCGACCGGAAGAGGGCGAGAACGTATCCCGTCCGATGCCCTGAAAATAGGAACTCTGTGATGGTAAGGAGGCACTGGACCATCCGCATGCGTGGCGCAAGTCGTTGTTCTGGTAGGGAATGAGGGAACCAAGGAAACTTCCATGGTGTGAGTTTGCTAATCAGTTCCAAGACATCTACAGGACTCCTCCAAAACCCAGCCATCAATTCTTCTCTCCGCCATCGTGCGGCGCCCCGCCGACGCGCGATGCGCACCCGTGAGGTGTCGTTCACATCGCGTTGGCCAGCCTGGTGTGGAACGTGTCCGCTTGGACGCGACAGCTGGGCTTGGCTTCTTGAGTCGCCCCTTTTTGGATCGATCGGTGAGTCCGACCGTGAAGAAACCGAGTCGACGAGGCGAGTCCGCACGGTGTTCCCTTCGGTGTCTCATTCCGGAGAGAACGGAATGAGAGTTAAAGAATCTGGACAGACAAGCCACCCTGAAGAAACGGGTCATGTTCTGCAAGCGCAATCACTAATAGTGCAATCAGAATCACTAACAGACAACACAGAATACTGACCAATACTGACAACACAGAATGACAATGCCAAACACGAGGCCTGACAGACACTGCAACGGACTGCGAGCAATGAAAAGCAAAGCTAAGACAAAAATAACCACAACGCATGTAATACTGGACAATACACCAGGACAAACCTGACAGCAGACAACAAGCCATTGGAGGATGTCGAGCCAGTCACCCCAACCCAGCTGCGTCGTACCAGTGTGTTTGCGGGGAGATGGCTCGAAGTAAAGTAATTGTTCGGAAAAGAAAGGAAGCGAAAATGAAGGGTCTGGAGGAAACAAAGAACACGAGCAGCTAGGAACACTTCAGTGAGTGTAGACGTGTCAGTGTAGACGTGGAGGTAGCTTCGCTCGGTTCGCCATCGGACCTTCCAACCGAACCTCGGGGCTGAGAGGCTTTTGGAAGCCTCATAAGACCATGTTCCTCTGCTAAAAGAGGGAGGTGCACCGGTTGAAAAAACGTGGACGTCCATGTTAGTGAGTCGAAGTGGACATTTCTGATATGTTCACATGGACTGAAAGGGCGACAGACAGGGAAAGAAGACCACATCTACACGGAATAATGCCATTTTTGCCCAACAGCGCGGCAAAGTCTACAGAAAATACTGTGTTGGTTTGCTTCTGACCTTTGGGTTTGGTTTAGAGGTCCCGGAGCTCTACGTATTTCGAGTTGCATATCTATACGGAACCATGTCGGCTGTTTCCAGCGGTCCTGCCATGTCGACTCCCACAATCGGACCTCGCCCGAGCATGAGATCGTTCGTGGTCGAACTCTGAAATTGAAGCGTTCTGGACACGGAAAGCACGACTTACCAACCGTACTGGCCTGGCCGTTGAAAGGAGTTCCGCATGAATGGATTGCGTGTGTGACTCGTTTGGGCTATCACATTGCAATACAGAAATGTCGTGAAAGATCATCCGTTCTAATGATTCTTTTTGGGTTTTGATCACCCGAGTCTTTTCGCCAGACCAGTCCCCACGCACCAGTCGCTTTGAATTCACGCTGCATGGTCCTTTCTCAGAGCAGGTCGGCACCATCCGGGCGGAGATGCAGAACCAAGGATCGAAGACGGTTGTTGTTTGCTTCGTAGCGGGATTCCAGAATCCAACGCACGAACATCGATGTGACGAGGTTTTGAGGTGTTTTTTATGTTTATGTTTTTTTTCGAAAGTCAAAGGATATGCGACGCGCGCTGGTTCTGCAGCTTGGCGCCTGGTCGGTGCGGGCACTCAGTTTGATGCTCTGGTGCATGGTTTAGGTTCCGATGTTCCCAACGGAAAACGGCGCCCAAGCGGACGGGATAAAGGCAAGACATGGGCAAAGCATGGCAAAACGAAGTCTTTCGGATTCCGGTTCAGCATGGATGTCCTGTTGTGAAGCGGGATTCCAAGAAGACGGTGAGGTTGATCCCGGCTTGGTTTGGAAGGGATCCACGTTTGAGCCTTTCGCCTTGTTGCAGACGAACGAGATGAAGCTGGTGAGGGGTCTGGTTGTATCTACATCATTTGGATATTCCCGAAGCTGATATAGACACTGGCAGGATCTGGCAAGTTTTTTCATCATGTTCTTCGTCCAATTTCCTCAAAACAAATGGTGCGTCCCCCAAATAAGCGGCTGAGAGGCTGAGAGCTGACCCCACGATCCTGCTTGCATGTGTAGTCGTGAACTGGGTTCTTGTGGGCAGAAAGGTTGTTTTTGCTCGTTTTTAGACACCTCTTGGCAACTGCTACCCTGCCCTGATCAAATTACTGAACATATCTGAAAACAAACCTGTGTGAACGACCGTTTGGTCTTACCAACCAGAACCAGGCCGAGAAATCGGGATCCTCCGCCGATACACTGCGGTGGAGGTTTGACACCCTCGAGACGGTGGAAACGGAAATCGACGAAGCCTTCCAAGGGCCACCTCCTTGCTACAATCGCAGCTTCTTGTTACTTCTGGCGATGGCCTCCAACCTAGTAGCTGCTTGCTACTTCATGTAGACACAGAGGATGAGCAAAACCCTGAGACATGGATTGAACAACCTCTTCAAGCTTGGGGGGTTGAGATCTCGTCAAGAGTCTACATTAAGGGACAGAGACCTCGGAGTTCAAGCTGGATACCAAACCATGATCAAAACTGTGTAAAGCTTCAGGAACTGTGATGATAGTCTTACATGTCTTGGAGCTTTTCACACGGTCTCTCAGACAGAGTCCGCGTCTTGCGTCTTTTTTCGAGCAGTCCACCTTGGTTGCGGAATATCGTGGACAGCGTTCTGCCTGTTGAGAGCGGTTCGGAAATAGCCGCTGAAATGGGACGCACAAAACGACCCACCGAATTCGCACCAAAAGAACGCCACGAACGCTGGATGACCCAGCAACGTGCCTAAGGGCTGGAGGACCAATCCGGAACCAGTCCGAGATGGGAACGAAAGGGTCCCCAGCCCAACTGCTACCAATTCCACCAACACCTGCCTTTTGGAAGACCGCCAAATGCAGCGTCTCCGGTCGGTGGGGGTGGTCTTTGGGCGAATTTTTTGGACGTGAGGAAGTTGGCAAAGAGGGATAGCCTCCAGACCTGTCAGACGAAACCTGGAAACCAATAGGGCCTAGGGATGGCCTCCAACCTAGTAGCTTCTTGGAAAAATACATCAAAACGCTTGTAAAGGAATTGGTCGGAATCAGGTGTTTGCCCCCCAAATCCTTCCGTTGGTGGGTTCACGCGAACATCCCGGGTGTTTGGAAGGGATTCTTTCGGTGTGGATGGCTTCATGATGTTTCGGCGTTCGTCGCTTTCGGTTCTCGCGAAGTCAGAGCTGCACAAGGCCCTGGACAGGCGAAGTCGCCTTGGACTGGTCTTTCAGAAAGACAAAAACACTAATTACTACCTTTGCTAGTAGGAACAAGTGCATCGCTAGTAGTAACAAGTGCCTTACTAGTAGTAACAAGAAGCTATTAATTAGAATTCTAATACTTGGACCGGCCGGTCCTGAGATTTACGGTCCGACCTCCAAAAGGGAATTCTTAGACAGCGCGATGATGCCCGGTGTCAGATCTGTTGGGCATTTGGATGATTTTTAGGACTGCATCCTGATTGACTCATTTGGAAACGGAATAAACAGACTACGAAGTTAAGGAGGTTTACGATAGATTTACGCTACACCTGGCAAGATGTTATTTTCACCTATCCCGATTCCACTTCATCGCCCGGCCGCGTAGATGGATTTCGTCACGTCATCACCATCGAACATCTCTACTTCTGGGTGAATGTGATTACGCTTTTTCTCGAAGATCAAGGAACTCACCGGTGTTTCGACGGCCGCTGGTACCGGTGATTTCGCTGGTAGTGGGTACCCGAGTTGGGAGGCGGCCATTGAAGTGGTTCACCGATGGAAGCAGCTTCCTCATTGTTTTTTCTAGGCGCCTCGCACGCGCGGCCCTCTACGGACGCACAGATTGTGAAGAGACGAGCGAGAGGGACGGTTTTTGGTGGTGTTTGAAGTGGAAACACGCTTGAAGTGTATCCTCTAGAATTGGTGTCAAACGCTTCACTCAGCCATGTGGTTTAGCCGCCAGCCTATATCCTTTGGAAAACCACATATAGAACCTGGAAATGGGCACTGAAAGAGTATTCGTTTGACAAACCAGTGTTGAACTGGGGTGCTATATTAGTCTTTGGTGTACTTCCCGGCGATGATGCATCTTTGTTCAAATCTTTGATGTGAAGCGTGAGCTGAAATCATAGGCACAACCAAATGCCTGTTCCCTGCGCCAAACGCTATCGGTTTTGCAAGTTAGCTTCGCGGGGATGGAGGAATTTGCGTGGCAGGTTTCGCCGGCGGACTCTGTTCGTCTGACACTAGGTTTGATACTGATCATGAAAGTATCAATTACCGGCCAATGAATGCCTGCCCTTCTTACCAACTAATCAGTCACCAGCTGCTTCTTGTGGACGTCCATCTATGTCGCCAGCGGCCCTGCGCGTCCCCGCAGATTCCTGCCGTCCCTCGGTCGGTTTTGGGGCTGGGCACGACTCACCGGGCGAAGCCGAGGGTGAGAGCCGGTGTTCGGCGCTTGAAGAAGGTCAGTGAAGCTTCGGGACTGGACTTTGCTGTTATTTTTGGATGTCGAATCAGGGCTCGAAGATGGAGCCCAAGGGCGTCAGGAGAGGGCTCGAAGGGCGGAGGACATTGATGTCATGATTCATGATATGTCATGATGTTTCATCCATCAAGATGGTCCGTCACAGTTGCAGGACACCATGCTGAACGCGCGCTGAACGCGCTGAACAGCAGACTTGACTCAACCGCACTTCACTGGAAGGATTTGTTCGATGGTGTGGTGTGCAAACAGAAATGGCCCTGTCTTCCGGAGTCCGTCTTTCGAGCTATTGAATTGCTCCATCTAAATTCATGGCCAAAAAAATGTTGGTTCGTGGCCCTCATCATGTTCCCTCCTCCCCCCCCACGTTTCGCCTTTGTTGGGACACCGCTGGAAGCTCGGAAGCCGCAGAAGCCGCCCTTCGGACCCAGTCCCACGTCCGGGTTGGGTCGGGGGAACTCTGCGGTGGTTCCGGAGGACCTCAGGTCCTATGGGGTCGGGGAGTCACATTTAAGGTGCAAACCAGGGTACCGAATAGGTGCCGCAGTCGAAGTGTGTAGTGAAGTCCATCAAAGAGTGCGTGTTGAGGGAAGCACTTCATGTGAGATTTGCTGACCATTTTGCTCTCGCCAGAACTACTGGGACGCGCCACAGCGTGCCCCTGCACATTGATGCAGCCCACGCAACGTGCTTCGCGACACGTGCAAAGCAAAACAGCCAAGAGTGCGACATTTCGCAGGAGGGAGTTGACCAAGTTGGACAAGGGGAGAAGGTGAGATTCGAGAACTCTACAGACTCTGCTGACAGCTTACACATAATTGCCCATGAAAGCAGAGGAGAAGGGTCTTGAAATGGTCCACGTTCAACGATCTATGAGTTATTGTGACCCAGGGACACCAATTTAATCCAATTTCGATGGGGATCCTTTCTGCACGGCACTGGATGCCGGACCGGAAGGAAGATCTGCACCAGTGGATGTGGTTGACCAGGGAGGAGCTGGGACATGTGCAGGATGGCATGCCAGTTCTTCTCGTTTCAATGGTTGAAGGGCACCACCTGGGAACGACCGTCGCAATCGCGCAACGGACGACCCACTGTCTTTGGTGGACACGGGATTCCATGAAAGATGTGATTTGAACCAAAAGGACCTGGTGCAAAAATCTCGACCTAAATCGATTGAAAACAAGAGAAAGAGACAGAACAAGAACGTACAAGAACATATGAAAAGCCAAAAAAAAACACCATTTGATGAATGAAATTCCTTTTGCCTTTGTTGTTGGTGCTTTCTGAACTGCTTTGTGGGCTCACCCTTTTCGGCCCGAAGACCACCCCCGGTCCGGGTGGAGAGCGAGTTCGGCGGGCGCACAGCGTCCGCCGTTCGGGTCGGACGCCAGGAGGGCCACTGTGAGGTCGGTCGTGCTGAAAACCTGATCTGTGGAGGTCGGAGTGAGCAAAGACTGTAGCACTGACTGTACCGGAACTGAAATCCGAATATCTGGAAGCCAAAATGCGGATCTCAGGTGCCAGCGGTAAGCCAGTGGTATGTGGAACTCTTCCTCCAATAGCAGAATACAGATGTGCCCAATGCGGTGCCCCCAATGTGGGAGAAGGGAAGCACATGGAAGCTGTGCTTTCGAGTCGCAGGGAAACACTCAAGGGGTTGGGATTCGACTTCCCTCGCTCAACACTCAAGGGGGTTGGGATGGGGGCTTTGTTGGACCGACAGATGATGGGAAGCAACAAGCCCTGGAGCATTAGCTGCTTAGCACCCAGACCTACATGGGTCGCTTGCTTCGTTCCAAAAGACATGGCAACTGGGCCAGTGGGGGGTCGAAGCTGAGAGCGTCTCCTCCATGTCATGCTCCATGTGCATATTGTTTCTACTAGCTTCTTGTTCCTAGAAGTAAGGCCAGGAGCCCCGTTCGTAGCGTTCTTGCTCCTAGTAGCGATGCCCTTTGCTCCTAGTAGCGTCCTATACATTCTTTTCCAGTGCAACTTTGGCCTTCAGCTTCTGGCTCCTTCTGCGAGCCATCTTCAAATGGAGAGGGCAAGAATCCCTGCAACTGCCATGGATTTAACGGTGTGACATTGTTTCCCCAAGCGTTTTGAACAGCAAACCCAATCGTTCAATGATCAGGGAATAGATTTTTGTCGATCATGAGTGCGGAAAGATTCAACCTCAAAAAGAATGAAGAAATCAGATCTAAATCATCCTTGGAACAAGCATCAATAGGATGGTGAACTACCACCGCTTTATCTTGGAAGCTTAAATAGTCTTGGTCCGAACCCGCTCTTTGGTGTGAAAAAAGAGGCCGCTTCGGTCCACGAGGTCATTTGCCTCACCTTCAACCTGACCAATCAGTGACGAAAACCAGCTGATAGCAATCCCAGCAACTTGGAGAAGACGCAATATTGTTGTCATGGAAGAAGGAGAGACCCATCAAACGAACAAAAGCTCAGCCCGCGCCATGCGCCATGCGCGCGAAGCCATGGCTTGCACTCCTGCCATGGCTTGCACTCGTCTCCGCCGAGCCAGACGAGGGAGGAATCCTTCCGCTTCCGTCGGGGGGAACCCCTTCCTTGCACCCGGAGATTCCAGGCGAGGGCCGAGACGGGATGACAATTCCGTCAACGGAGACAGGGAGGATTCCTGGCAGGTGAAAGGAGCCAAGTTGTTGGGATAAAGTCTAGTAACGGCAGAAACGTGCAGAATAGTACCACTATATTATACTATATTATATTATATGATATTATATTATATTATATTATATTATATATGTGTGTGTGCGCAACATGTATAAATAAATGATTTACTATTATGAAAAATAGTAATGTGTATGATGTATAGCAAAATCAATGAATGTATATAGTAGTTTGGCATGTTGATCTGAAGTAATTGCGTCCAAAGGCAGTGAATCGAAGTGGTCCTCGTATTGTGTCCAACCTGTTCCGCCTGTAGTGATGGAATTCTGTCGGAGATGGATCTTTGAGCAGTGACTGCTCGAGCACGACGTCCAGAGTCCACCCCCTCGGCTTTCAGATCCGCTTGGTTGGTCGCCAGCCCGCCAGGCTTTCACAGCTTTCGCCCAGAAGTGCAGTTGCCAGACTATGAGTGCCAGTTCTTGCCAGAGGACTGGTATGAGCCTCGGCGCTTTTTCTGCCATCCGCGATCTGAGTCATCCATGCGCATCCTCCAAGAAAGACCTGAGAGGCTCCAAAAGGCCACAAAAGGCCTATGTTCTCTTCTTCTCTTCCGTTACGGGACTATAACTAGGAATGATGGCCGCAGAAGAAAGGATGTTCCAACCAAACCTGAGTCACCTCTATTTCTGGACCACCAAACGCCCAAAATATGGTCTGCCTCTTCCTCTCAAAACAGGGGCCTGTGAGGTCCTCGAAAACCGCGGACCGGTCACCGTGTGAACTCACGGAAGACCGCTGGACCTGAGAAGTGGGACGACCAAGGTTGGTGTTTGCGCTCGCCGGTCGGAGCGTAGGATCGCGTTCGGACAGATCAGGAAAGATTTGTGTTGGTCCAGATGAAGTCATATATGAATCCAAAGAAGTAAAGTTCATACAGTGCCATCAAACTAACATCTCCAAAACGCAGACGCTGTCAGACGATGGTCCTTCGAGAAGACAGGGTGGGGATCGAATTCGGTTCACGGAGGGTGCATGTCGTCAACGGAGAGTCCTAGTAGCGTCCGATCGCTCTGAGTAGCTTCTTGCTCCTAGTAGTAAGGCCAGGAGCCCCGTTCGGTTCACGTCCGATCGCTCCGTTCGAGTCGCGATGCCACTGAGGAATTGAAGCAAAACTTCGTGGGGAGCCTGAACTTCTTCCGGGAGTTTGGCGCAGTCAGGCCGGGCGGGGCGGGGCGGATGGCCAGCTTGGCGGACCGGTCTCTTTGGGTTTCTGGTTGAGATGTGAATCAACAGTTGAAGGAGGAGTCATGGCCTTCTCCATCTACGTGCTTAATCATCTATCATCTCCCCAGCCCCGCATGTGATCTCGGATCATTCATAGATCTTCCTCGTCTTTCAATGCCGAGCGGCTGGGCCTTGACAGTTTGCTCTTGCAAGCACAGAGCGAACGGGAGCAGCTCCGATGGTCCACCGGGCCCGGCGACGTGTGGGTGTTCCGCTCGCCCACCTTTGGGGCGTGGTCTGCGGTTCGCGAGAAAAACCACCGTGAAGACTGCTGGTCACCGCCAGCGGCCACTGAAGGACCGACCACGGATCATTGGATGATCATCTCCGACCGTCTCGCAGACCACACGGACCGGGTCTCACGGACCGGTCGTGGAGAGGTTTCAGTCCGAGACCGACGAGGAGCAACTGGGCGACCTCCAGCGCCTTGGGAGCGCACAAGACGGGAGGGGGCAGAGGAGGCGGAGTGGGTGGGTGGGTGGGTTTTTAGTGGAGACGAGTTCGGTCACAGAGGAGCACGATTTCGAGAATGGCCTGCAAGAGTGCCTGCAAGCCAACTAATCAGCATTTTCCACTGAGCCCTGGTATATCCCAAGGTGGAGGTGTGGATGGAGGTGGAGGTGGAGAACAGGGGAGATGAGGAGATGGGGTCGCTCCAAATCTTTTGTGGGGGTCTGTGAAGGGAATATGATGGGGACCCCTTCAACGTTCTAAAGAAGCTATGTAGAAGATTGAGAAGTTAGATGTTTGCTCACCCGTTGATCCCGTTGGTTTGAAGCAAATGTTTCACCATAAAATCCTGCAATTTGGGCAACACACAGCTCTCCCCACTGTCATTGAAATAGCTACCTGAAGTGAAGAGTCCCTTGGGGGCACACCCCAAGTCCTTTTATATGTTTGAACATTCTGCTGGGAGGCCTTTGTCTCAGGGCCAGTGGGTGGATGCGTTGCTGATCGACACCAATATGCAGCCGTTCATATTCTCAGAACACTTCTGCGATGGCTGGTAGTTTGTTCCAACCAGGACAAACGATGCCCATCCAGTGTCAATGCCAGGAAGCCACGAGCAGTATTCCATCGCCTGGTGTGAAGACTCTTTCGAACTCCGTTCCATCCGTGAACTCGCTTTTGCATACCCACAGCTTGATGCCACGAGCTTGCCATGACAGTCACACATGGTCGCCAACTTCTTGGTCAGGTAGATCCTTGAGCTTCATGCCAGTGTGGCACGGCCTTGCTTGCATGAAAGAGCACCCAGTAGTGCTGTGGGTGACCCAACCGAGGGCACTCTGACTTCGCCAGCATTCTGCGAAGCTGACGATGCCTGCCGTGGTGCCAAAAACCGTGGCCTTTGCCACGTCCTTACCGGTTTTGCCACGCGCGAGTGACCAATCCTCGCCCCGCAGATGTGCGTGCAACTCGTTCGGCCACGTCGGGTTGGTATCCCCCAAAAAGGTTCCCATTTGGTGAAAGAACATGGACCTTTGTGAAGAAGGTCGATTTCCAACACCCCCAGCAGAGGCTGAAGAACCCTGTAGACTATCCTATAGGTACCCCTGTAGGGTCCTAGTTCAGGTCACTGGCTACCTCTGTAGACCTCCTCGATGCGACCCTCACCCGCCCTGGGACACCCAGTGGGACACCCTCCGATGCGACCGGTGGGCTCCGAGGATTTGGCTGAACTACGCGGTGGCCTTTTCGGATCACAACTGGTCCGTGCGCGATTGCCCCTTCGCGAACTTCATCCGGAGGACGAAGAACCAATGGGGTGGGGTGTGATGCTTCCGAAAAGGGGGGGGAAAAACGTACTTGAGTTCTTTCTTCTGCAGGAAAGGTGTGAAAAAGGTGTGTTTGAAAAGTAAACGAGTTCTCCACCTGAATCGGTCTTCTTGTGGCTCTTCCGAACTTGAATCTCCGATGGATCGCTATGGTGCACGGGAGCACCTGCGAGGTTGAGGAGTTGATTGGTCCCCTTGGATTCAATTCGTTTAGCATTGGGGGCTCGAGATGGTCTTGATGAATTGTGGGAGGTGACTTGATCCTATGTCAACATGATTTCTGCCACGTGGTCTCCTTCACAACCCCGCAGGCTCTACTTGTGGTCCTTGTGCACCATTGTGGCGCCTCGGCGGAGGATTTGGGTGCCGAAAGCGGGCATCGGGTGGACGCTCTGCGCTTGTATCCCAAGAGATGATTGGGCAATCTGGTAAAAGACAGACCACCATCTGCCATGTGATGTGGATGTTTTTTGTGTGCAAGCTGCAAGTCCTTTTTCCCAGAAAGTCAGTACACTCCGCCAGATGTGAGCAACTTTCCGACAGTTTTGCCAACAACAAGGCCCTGCTCTTGGAGGAAAGCTGCCTTCCGAAGGGCCAAATGAAATTATGTAAAGAATCCGGACAGAAACCATAACTATAACCACTGCAAAACCACCCTCCATCCACCCCAAAAAAGTCCGGCAAAAGTAAAGAAAGACAAACCATAACCTTAAGACACTTGAATACCCACTTGCTATTTGGATGGAGCACCCCCGGTTCAAGCGATTTGGAGCCGGTTCCATCGCGTCAGGATGGGCTGCCACACCGTGATCACGTGGCTCGGTAGCGCTGAGCACAGCTGGGGGTGAGGGAGGTGTTTTGGCATGTTTTGGCATGTTCTACATTGTTTTACATGTTTCTGAGATGTCCCTGGAATACGTGTTAGATCTTGTTGAGGTGTCAACGAGCATTTTTGACATGCTTCAAGAAAAGCTCAGCCGGCTCGCCGCATGGTTCAGCATAGAGGTTACACTGGTCCGGGCAAAGATAAATTTGGTGAATTCGATCATGTGTGTAAAATCGGTGTTGCTTCGTCGGTAAACTCGGTCAATCGGCAAATTTGCTACATTGTCCGATTTACTGTTTTACCGCGTCTTTGAGCGTCCTCGACATGTTACGGTTTGACCTACTAATTCAAGCCGAGTTATTTACAACTTGCGGCAAATGTCAAAAGTAAGGCAGTGCAGCCGCTTTTTGCTCGCGAGGGAAAGCCAAGACTTGATAAACTTTTTGGGGCAGTGGCAGGCATACGAGATTGCTTCCTCCTCCCACGTGTGCTTTTGCGCAGAAGATCGGTTGGGAAGAGAGAAATTGCTCCAGACCTGCTTGAGAATGCACAAGCAGGAACTAGACCAGCCGGCATTTGCATTGACAACCCGGTGCTTTCTTGTTCATGGAGACGACTAGGATTTCACAGATGAAGTGTGCCTCCCGGTGGACAGATCCACATCCACATGACCCTCAGGTTGGATCCCTTGCACGCGTAGAAGCGAGGCTGACGCCAAGAGTGGCTGAAGCATTCAAGTGCATCTCCAGCGGTTCCTGGGGCGAAAACCACGAAATGAGCTTCACGACGTTCCTTCTGTTTCCAGCGGCCATTGAGCTTGGCAAGCAGCTGTGCCATCAGTTTTCAGAGGTGTGCGCGCGGAAGTTCTCACTGTATAAAACACCTCTTTAACGACACTGTGGCCCTTTTCGAGCGAGATATTTGATGACAAGCAGGAAATTGATGGGGTGTTTGTTTGAGGCCACATCTCATCTGATGAGATTGAGAGCAAAGGGGAAACAAGCCCTTGGTAGCATTGTGCTTGAATGCTGGAGAGGTCATGGTGGTTCAAGGATTGTTCTCCGATCTAAGACCACTGCAACAGCAATGCTTGAGAGAGTCAGGGACAAAGAGCAATCCAAGTGACTCTGCAAAGCAATCTCAGACCTCGCAGGAAGAGCTTGGAATGGACCCTGAGACTGGTTGCCTGATGTGTACAGACCAACAGGCCGACGAGTACTGAATTGCACCAACGTTTCGCAAACCATCGACAACAACGGTAAAATTTCTTAAGTCGGTGCTCGTAGAGTTCGTTAGTTTCTCCGTTCACCGTTCTACCGCGCGTTGTTTGAACCAATCCCTCCGTAATACGAGCACAGCGGTCGCGCAGCTTGCGCCAGCACAGGCTGTCCGTGTTTCTTCGTGCCCCGGAGAATGCCGCCCATTCGCGTCCAGGTCGAGTGGAAGGCCACCGGAGAGCCTGTGTGCCAAGAGCTCCGTGGGGCAGCTCAGCGGAGAGTTGGGCCAGTGGAGTTGGGTCGTGGAGCCAGTGGGGGCTTGGATGAAGTAAGTCATTCAGATTCTATGGCCGCCTTCGAGGTGATGCCCCCATCTCCTTGGCCAGGCGCATTCGGCGACGAACACGGAGGGTGGGGGACCAGGGAATCGGAATCAAGAAGACTCGATAGTTTGCAACCTACTAGCGATGGCCTCCAACCTAATAGGGACGGCCTCTAACCCACTAGAGATGGCCTCCAAGCTAAAAACGCGATGGTTTCCACCCTAGCGATGGGACTCGATCGTTTTGTTGGATGTGTTTGGTTTGGGTTTGGTCCATTTCGTGTGGGACCCTGGATTCAGGAGTCCCAATGCCACCAGAAACGTGAAGTAAAAACAGAAGAGCAAAATATCACAAGGTACCAGGACCTTCCGACCCTGTCCAAGACTACCCTGTGAGCCTAGGAAGCCGGTCGTGTGGGGTAGTGCACCCCTGTCGGGTCGGAGGGTGCAGGGACTTCGTGTCGGTCGTGGATCGCCAGTGGATCGGCGGTAGACCGACTCGTCTACCCCTCGCTGATGACCATGCTGGGTAGACCGACTCGTCGGGTCGAAAGGCCCAAAAAAGATGGGTGACTTCGGACTAAATGAATGTGTGATTCATGAAGTGCACAAATCAAAAGGTGTACAACCACACCTCGTAGAAAGCCAAGCGCTACGAGTGTTTTCGTCTTACTTTGGCTCAAGGTTGAAAAGGCCCGACGCGCTGGGCATCCCATTTCATAACCACAGGTTATGAGCCCAAAGTGATCGTTTTTTTTTTGGATTTTCCAAGTCCACCTTCCACCGTCGCGAGGACGGGGAAGTGTTGGTCCCCATGGAACAACGAAGACGCCGGCAGCAACGATCTCGAGAGCGGAAAGAGGCAGCGGCTCCACCGGTGGAGATTGGTGTGGCTGACCGCCGATTGGATGCGCTCATCGAGGAGGAGCTGCAGGGCAAGGCCATGAGGGCGCAATCAGTGCCTGTGAGGGCAGCGGAGATGAAGCGGCTGGGAGCAGCTGCTGGGGCTGGATCAGGCCAGGGAGGCCCTCCGGCGGTGGCCGCATCGAGTGGTCACCAAGGACAACAGGAAGTTCGACAGCTGTTGAATGACCCAAGAGGCCAGGTGATGGGGCTTGGGCATTTGCAGGAGGCAGTTCGGCAGTCATTTGAAGTGTTGCAACATGCTCTTCAAAGGCCAAGTTCCCAACCTACCCTACTAGATCCTCTTCTTCGGCCCGGTGATCATGGAGGTCATGCTGGTACCGGATACGGAGTTCTCGCAGGGCACGGGCTGGCGGCTGGTACTCCCTTGCGGCAGAGCGGGGTGGAAATGGAGCGCAGTGGGGCATCACCTTATATGGCTGGAGCAGGACGTGATGATGTACACCCTCGGGTGCTGGAGCCCTATCCTACCACGCCGGTGGGACCTTTAGGGACGGTGAATCCTTTTTGGAGTGCTTCAGTGCAGCAAGCGGCCAAGGGTGAGTCACACGTGCGTGAGTCCGAGGTAACGAGAAGCCAACCTCCTGTGCCGAGTCCGGGCCTGGGACAAGTGGAACGTCTTCGAGAACGCATCTTGAGGGAGGCCGAGGAGACCTTTGCTCGGGAGGTGAAGAAGATGACGGACGCTGGAGATTCAGCATCGTTCACGTCGGTGCCGAGTGCGAAGGCGGAAGGACCTCAAGAGCCGATGGGAGAGAATGCTAAGCCTGGTGGAGCACCTGATACTCCTCCTGGTCTTGCTCCAGTACCCGATCTTCGAGGTCATGGAAATGGATTGAATGGGGCGGTGAATGGGATGAAGCCGATGGAATCGGTGACAGCGGCCCTACCTGAGGCAATGCGGAATTTGGAATTGCCACAGTTGCCATCACCTTCGACTGAGAATGCGGCCCTGCTCTTTGGGGACTGGCTGACGGTGATTTCCCCGTTGATGGGAGACCTCAGTACGTCGTCTCGCGAGTTTTGGGATTGGGTGCAGCGAGAAGTGGAGGTGAAGTACAATGAGTGGCTTTTGGCGACGCCATTGGGGCGGTTGAGAATCAAGGTGGAGGAGCAGGTGTCCCCACGGTTCCAACGATTGGACCAGCGGGCTAGCTCGACTTTGCTAGCTGCGCTCCCGGAACCGGTGAGAAAGGACATTGTGGCAAGTCGACGAGTGGTGACTCAGGCGATTTTGTACAAGCTCTTCACCATCTACCAACCTGGTGGAAATGCAGAAAGGGGAAATCTGTTGCGCAGCCTGACGGAGGTGAAGTGTGGCAGCTCTATCCAGGACACACTGGGTGCCATTCGAACCTGGCGCAGGTGGATTTGTCGAGCTGAAGAATTGCATGTAGCAATCCCGGATTCGATGGTCTTGATTCAGGCCTTGTCCAAGGTGGCAGAGAATCTCACGAAGCATGGAGGAAGCCAAGTGGGATTCAGGATTGCAGCAGCTCGGCAGGAACTGGAGGTCGATCGAAGGCCAACGTTAACTACCACCAAGGAGTTTGCGGAGTTCCTCCAGGCTGAAGCGGAAGATTTGGCGTTGACTATGCCACATCCTTCGTCGGCCAAGACTACTGGCTCCGGAGCAGTCCTTCAGCCAGCAGCCGGGGCTCAGCCAACGATTAAGGCCTTGGGTGGAGGAGGCGGAGGCGGAGATGGACCACCAAAGACGAAACATCCATGCCGTTACTGGGGTACGACTGGTGGGTGCAAGCGGGGAGAGACCTGTACTTTCGCCCATGCCTGGGAGGGCATCAACAAGACGGGCAGGTGTTTTCACTGCTCCGGGGAGAACCACTTTGCGAAGGACTGTCCGTATGGTCGGGAACGACCGGAGAAGGATGGGAAAAAGACGGCCAAGTTGAAGGGAAGTGGGAAAGGGACGTCGGAGAAGGAGGAGACTGGCCCGAATGAAAAGTCAGGAACTACTTCATTGACGAGCTCTTTGTCCGCGGCTACACGGCCGGTGGCAGGTGGAGGAGAAAAGGGACGGGATAGTGGGTGATCCGACGTCGGAGCTGATCACTGAGGCCACATCCCTCTTGAAGTCCCTCCGCAGTATGAAGACCTTCAGATTGAAGCAGATTCATGTGGCAGATACCAATGAGGGTTTGGAGCTAGCATTATTGGATGGTGGAGCTACTCACCCATTGAGAATGGCAAGACAGGAGGAGCGAGGGAGGTTGCAGCCTGTGACGGTGGAGCTTGCCCATGGATGTACAACTTTGTACAAGCACCCGGACTTTGACACCCTCTTGTCCCTGGAGCCAGTGGAGCCGATCTTGCCGCTGAGTCTGCTGGTGGAGAATGGGTATGCCATTCACTGGAATGGGCAGGGTTGCACGATCATGCACCAGCAGCTTGGAGCTGTGAAGTGTTGGCTGAGATCGGGGTGCCCTGTCATGAATCGAAAGGACGCCATGGTGATGTTGGCAGAGTTTGAAGAGAACCAGAAGAATCGGAAGAGATTGTCCCAAGTGGACTGGAATTGGTGGCGTAGCATCATGCCGGACGTGCCGGAGGACGTGCTGGAGATGATGGTTGGGTTTTCGAGTGAACCGAGCCCAGAGCTGCTGCCTTGGAATAGACGTCAGAGGCGTCGACATCAGCGAAGTCGTGGCCTGGTGATTCACCTTTTCTCTGGAGCGGATACAGGGAGGTGGAAAGGCACACTGCCCGATGATATGGATTGGATTTTCCTGGATTTGGAGTTGGGAGATGGCTTCAATGTGCACAATGCGAATGTGTGGAGCTACGTGTGCTCGCTGGCCAGATCCGGGAAGGTGAAAGGAGTGGTTGGGGGTCCGCCTTGTCGTACCACGAGCAGATTGAGGTGCAAGGGGCCGCCAGGACCGAGGAGAGTGAGAGGTCGTGGCGATGATCGCTGGGGCCTGGAGGGGCTAACGGCCCGGGAACGTGAACAGGTGCGAGGGGATTCCGCACTGGTGGTGAAGCAGGTGGGGCTATGGCACCTGGCGGAGGAGCATCGGGAAGGACCTGATCCGGTGGCATTTCTTCTGGAATCTCCGCAGGACCCTGCCAGCTATGTGGGAGATGGAGTCGATGCCGGGCATGATCACCCATCTTTCTTTGAATGGCCATTGTTGAGGAGAATGGTGGACGAGTATGGAATGAGCTTGGTTAGCTTCGACCAAGGACGAACGGGGCACTCCCGGCGAAAACCCACTAGTTTGCTGACCAACCTTCGTCACCTGGAAGATCTGAATGGACTCAGGGGAGGAGGATCGGCTGACCCAGTGGAGGGAGGGCTACAGGAGAGAATGAAAGCATCTCGGTCGTGGGCGCGGTGGTCCAGTGGGCTGGTGAAGGCGATTGGACTGGCCTTGAATCTTCGGTTTGGGGGGAGAGCTCACATCGGATTGGCCAAGATGGATGTTGAGGAATGGAAGAGGCACATCAAGCAAGAGCACGTTCCCTACAGGAGAGATTGTCGGGATTGTGTGGAAGCAATGGGATTCTCCAGCCCACATCGACGCTCCAGAAACGCCTCGTCTGCCTTCGTGATGGCGGTGGACATCATGGGTCCGTTTGAGCAGGGGAGAGACCTTGGTTTGAACCAGTGGTGCAGGTATGTGATGGTGGCGACGATCCCGGTGCCGATAGTGAAGGATCTAGCTGGGGCACCAGAGGAACCACTGGACCATGAGTCGGAGGTCAAGAATGTGGTGGAGATTGAAGAGGAGAAAGAGGAAGTGGAATTGGCGACAGAGGAACAAGTGGCTGAGCTGAACATGAAGGCTGCGCTGGAGCGAGCTCAGGAAGAGGTTCCACTTCAGAACCTCACGATTGCAGAGCCGATGCAATCTCGAGCGGTGGAGGACATCGTGCAGGCGCTCTCCAAGGTCCATGCTCACTACAGGATGCTGGGAGTGCGGCCATGCCGGCTGCACTCGGACCGGGAGAAGTCCTTCCTCACGAAGGCAGTGGCAAAGTGGGTGCAGGCCAGGGAGATGGTTCACACGATGACCTCGGGTGATGATAGCCAGTCAAATGGCAGGGTGGAAGCAGAGCTCCTGCAGCTCAAACGAAGGATGAGGCTCCTCCTACACACCAGCAAGGTGGAGGCGTCATTGTGGCCATGTGCATTGAGGCATGCTGCGACTCAACGACTACGCCTACAACTTCAGAGGCTGGGAGTGGGATCAAAGCCAATGGTCAATTTTGGATCAATGGTCATGGCTAAGGCCAAAAGATGGCATCACAAAACGGGAGAGCTGACCAACCCGTTCAAGAGAGTGCAGGTGTTGGGACCAAGTCCGTTGATGTCATCGGGTTGGGTGGCAAAGGACAAACAGAATAGAATTCAGCATCTTCGGACGGTGGTGACCCCTTCGAAAACCTTGGAAGCGGTGCTGGAGCTGCAGGAAGTGGACCTCAAGGACAAGGGCATCAGACATCGACTAACAGGGAAACAGTCATTCGACCCGCACCCACTAAAAGATGTGGTGGCTCGACATTTTGATGCAGAAGTCCGACCAGCTCTTCGGGTACTACGAGCTGGGAGGGAGACCACTGAACCAACTTTGGAACCAATTTTGGAAAATCCGGAATCTACACCATTGAACTCGCTGTCGGTATGGCAACCTGGAGAGGTTGTGAATGGCATGATGGACTCCACCGATCAATCAATGGAGCAAATGGTCGGGGGAGATGGAGAAGAAGAGGTGGTTGGCGTGGAGTTGGAAGTCTCCGGGCCGCTGAGGAACTACCTGGAGGAGTTGGAGCGGGACTTCAGTGGTGGTGGTCTGGAGTTTGTGGACGATGAGGAGGATGTCGAGGAGGTGGTCGATGAGATGGAGCCGGAGTCGGAAGGAGAGCAGTCGGGGTGGAGAGCTTGGGAATGCCTTGGGGAGCTGGCGATGGTGTGTTGTGGAGATTGTGGACTCCTTCAACCCCGGCACCCCCACCAAGTCCCGATTGAGGATCCAAGGGACATTCGCGGCTGCGGGGTGGTGATGAGCTCCATGCAAGCGGCGGTGGAAGGTACGCTGGACTTGGTGGAGGCGACGCAGATTTCCTGTGGGTTCTGTGGTGGCAACTTGGAGTATGTGGACGACTACCGAGAACGTCGGACTGGAGGTCTATGGAAGGGCTCGAGTTGTTCTTGGGATCAAGCTGAGGAGTGGCACGCCATGGAGGTGAGGTCGCACTTGCTGATGAAGAGGTTATGGAGTGAGGAGTTGCGCCATCAGGCCATTGGAGAAGAGCAGGGCAGACAGAGAGGGCGATGGATGGCTGCATTGGAAGCTGGACTGTTGGTACAAGAGGATCATTTGGAGGACCAACATCGTAAGCTGGAGTCGGTGAGGTTGGCTGCGGTGAAGAATGAAGCAGGTTTGGAGTTACAGGATCCTGGAGCTCCTCCACCGGCGGTGTTGCAGACCTATGCAGTTCCCCTTCAACGAGTCCGACAGGAGCTTGCGGCGTGGGTACCTCCGATGACTGACGAGTACCAGTCCTTGATTGAAGGAACTAGGGCATTGAGTCCGACGACCATGGAAGAGTTGGAGCAGGATCCATTGTATGAGGTGATGGAGGTGGCGCCGGGGATGTTGGTTCCGACCATCAAGGCACCACATGGGAAGAAGCGGGCTCGCATTGTAGTCTGCGGCAATAGGTTGGAGGCTCTAGATGGCAGTGGTGCAGCAACCTCGGGAAGGGAGGAGGCCCAGAACTTGTATGCCGGCGGAGCTGACGGAACAACCATCCGATGTCTTCTACGAAAGGCGGCGGCTATGAACTGGGAGATCGCCACTTGCGATGTCAAGACGGCTTTCCTTCTGGCACCCAGGGAAGACTCCAGTCGAAGATTGGTAGTGGTGAAACCGCCACGCATTTTGGTGGAGGCGGGCATTGTGGGACCTCAGGAACTATGGCGGGTTCAACACGCCCTCTATGGACTTCGATCCTCGCCGGCGGACTGGGCTACCTATCGAAACCGGCTGATGAGGTCCTTTCAATGGCAACATGAAGGGAGGACGTTGGAGCTTCGGGAGACGCCAGAACCCAACCTTTGGAAGATTGTGGAGAGACGACCGCTGGATCAGGAGGAACCGCCTCCGAAGGGATTCATTGGGGTCTATGTGGATGACTTCATGGTGGTTGGGGCCAAGGACATCGTGAAGGGAGCATTGAGCAGGATTGAGATGGAGTGGAAGTGCAGCCCGGCGGAATGGGTCAATAGCGAGAGATGGACGAAGTTCAGTGGATTTGAGCTGAGATGGAGCTCGGCGGAGGAGGACAGCGGGCTCTATGTGGGGCAGCAAGCATACATTCAGGAGCTTCTGAGCCGACATTCCTGGGTGACCCCGGCTACGGTACCTTTTCCAGGAGTGCCCAATGAGGAGCCGGAAGCGGAAGTCACCTTGGAAGATGTGAGAAAGGCGCAGTGAACTACTGTGGGTGTCAGTGAGAAGCCGACCTGATCTGGCCTATGGAGTAGCTTGGATGGGACGACAGGTGACCCGAGCTCCAAAGCGGGTCTTGGAGTATGGATGTCAGATGTTGGGATATTTGAAAACCACCTTGGCATGGTCGCTTCACTATGGACGAGCCCGGTCTTCAATCCCTGGAGAACACTACAATCCTACTATGAGGGTGGACGTCCTTTCGGACGCATCGTTTGGACCTCCTTCTGGGAGAGGGTGTCAGGGCGTGATTGGAACCTATGGGGGCGAGCCGGTCCAATGGGAATCCAGGCAGCAGGCGTTTTGCACGCTGTCGAGCGCAGAGGCTGAACTGCTGGGTTACACAGAAGCGATGACCATGGGGGATTCCTTGGCGGCCTTGACCAATGTTCTGGAAGGAACAGGAGATGGAATAGGAATAGAGTGCCGTTTGGGGGGAGACAACCAAGCTGGTCTTCGAATCCTTGAAGCGCCGGATGGACCTTGGAGGACACGTCACCTTCGGCTTCGAGCCCATGCACTGCGGGAGAGGGTGAAGTGGGGCGCTTGGAAGGTGATCCATATCCCCGGTCAACATTTGGTGGCTGACTTCCTGACGAAGCCGATCGGAGTGGCTGCGAGATGGCAGCACTACTTTGCGGCCATGGGAATGAAACCAGTGGTGGAAGCTGTGTCTGAGAGCCTAGGGTCCAAAGTGGGTTAGCGGGCGTGATGGCCTGGCGGCCGTCAGGTTCCACGGGCAAGGCTGCTCACAGCCTAGCCGTAGCTGCGATGGTAGCTAGTTTGGCCACCAGCTGGAGAGCCGGCTGTGATTCTAAGAAGAGAGCCACTGGGCCGATAAGAGATGAATATGCAGATCCACCATATGGACTTCAAGATCAGGTGAGGGAAGATGAACCCACCTGCAGTAGAGATGATGGGTCGGAAGAGGAACCCATTAGTGAACCTAGCCCTGAGGGCTCCCGGGATTACGCGGTAGATGTGAGCCATGGCGGCAACTCGAAGAGGGCACGATTGGCTGCTCTGAGAGAGGGATCTTCGACAGGGCTCGGAGGGACATCGTCGACGACTACTGGAGAGGTTCCAGTTGTGGACTACGATCGACCCTGGACATGGAGGAGGTTCACTATGCCTTCGAGGGGTCAAGATCGATGGGACCGACTTCCAGGGGGATGGTGGGTCAGACACCATGTGAAGCAGAGGATGAGACCATTCCATCCAATTCATCGACACACACCTATGAACTGTAGCCACATTCAAGATCGGAGAATCACCGTGTTGTGGGGGAAAAGGTGATCAGGGATGATGAATGGAGGAGAGACACGGAACCACCAATGAGGGACCCCTGGGTAGGATATACCTTCTTCAGGGATCTTCATCCAGACCCAACGGCGGGGACTTTGACTTCGACCTCCAGTTCATCAACTACCAGAGGACAGGGCGATAGGACGTCTTCCTCGATGAGCGGTTCACTGACCTCCGGACCACCGCCAATGCCGGGCATTGCGGAACATGGTCCAGAGATGGAAGGAGTGCCTCGAGATGTCCGACCAGATCGTCAAGGACAGGACCCGAATCCGGTGGAATCTGGTTCGGAACTCAGCACAAGGGTGAATGAGGGAGCAAGTTGCAGTGGCATTGGAGGCTATGGGCAGCGGCTTCATGGCCATCAACAGCGAGGAGAAGTTGAAGGATCGGGGACGTCTGGAGATTCCCGAGAGCTTTCCTGGGTGAGTGAAGAGATGGATCGAGGGTGGGATTATGACCCTGCCTATTGGGCACAAGGACCTGGAGGACATGATGGAACCACGCTGGAGGATGATGTACGGGATGATTGGCTGGCGTTCATGCGGGACTTGACCGTTGATGCCGGGTCCCCCGTGGAGAACCGGCCGGTGGAGAGTGAGTCGAGCAGTGCAGAAAGACCTGACTGGAGGAGAACTCTGGCCAGTGAGGATGAAGAACTGCCAACCTTGGACGAGATGACCGCTCAAGGGTGGAGGGTGGTGCGAAGCAGCTTGGCACCCCCGAATCGAGAAATCTACAGAGGACCGGATCCTGTACTACCACCAGCTGAGGACCAAGATCAGGAGACGCCAACTTGGATGGGGGTGTCTACGCAGATGCCAGTGAGGCCCAGGTCAAATGACCCTTGGGAGCCGCGTCGCGGTTTTTCTGGAACCTCAAGGGTTCGTGAAGACTCAAGCGAGTCAGATGATTAGCTCTCAATGGCTTGAACCAAGCCAGGGGGAGTGTGATTCATGAAGTGCACAAATCAAAAGGTGTACAACCACACCTCGTAGAAAGCCAAGCGCTACGAGTGTGTTCGTCTTACTTTGGCTCAAGGTTGAAAAGGCCCGACGCGCTGGGCATCCCATTTCATAACCACAGAATGAAATCACGTAGGTGCTGCTCCAATCCGGCACAAATCACTGAAAAAACAACAATCACGGGTGCCCTTCCAGTCCTTTCCCAGCAGCCCCTGTCACCCCCGTTCATCCAAGAACTGTGGAGCCACCCGCTGCCACCCCCGTCCCACCAGCAGGGAGCTCTTTGGACGCGATCACAGCTCCTGGGGCCTCAGGTGGACGGTGAAGGGGACGGATGACATGAACGGGCTTGACCGGGGGGGAGGTGTTCTGGTGATTTGCGGTGGGTGTGCATGTTTGTTCGCTTGGATGTTCAATTCGGAGTGGAGTGGATTCGAGGAACCCTTGGGGAATTTCAGTCTTCAAGTGAATTTGTCGGGATTGGAAGGGTATCGTCCCGTTCTTTTGCGGTTCCGAACGTTTTGCTTCGGTCCTTTCTTCCATCCCTTCTTTAAAAAAACCGTTGGTGCGGTCGGTTGTGACACATCGGTGGAAGGAGTTGGGAGCAGATCTACGTCTTCATGAACACGCGCTTCGCGGATCTGATGACGATGTGGGCTCCTTGGCGGAGAAAGAGGAGCAGAACGCGTGGTGGAGGTTCTCGAGGTGGAGGGAGGGTTTGGCCTTGGATGGAGAACGAAGAAGCAGCTGAGAACGAAGGGGCCCCCTGTGCAATTTGGAAAACTTCAGGTGGTGCCGGATTTTTTCTGGTTGAGCTGCAATTATGTGGTGGTATGGCATGGTTCATTTCGTTGTTGAGGTAGTTTGTGTTCCATGTCAGACATGTGTTCCTCAAAACACCTCCTCAAGCACCTTGGTTCCGAACCTGACAGGAAAGCCAGAAGGTTGAGAGGTGAGTTTCCAGGAATTCAGAATTCCTGGAAAGCCAGGAAGGTCGTGAGCATGCCCAGTCCTGAGCAATTTTGGCATCTCTTGATCCGATCGGGGCTTCAACCTTTGGGGGGGTCATGGACAAGTGGGGAGAGTCTCTTCTCAAAAGGACTCAACGACCTAAGAGAATCCCTTGTGCACCTTGCTCTCTTCCGAGCCCCTTCTCACCGAACAAATACGGCCCAGTGAGGGAAGGTACCAAAAAGGAGTTGTTAAAGACAGACACACCGAGCCACACATCACAGACCCGTCCTTCGGCACATCCCGGTCCGCCGGAGACGAAGAAGAGGGCCGCGTCCTCGGACGCGTCGGACGCGTGCTCTGCCTCTGAGGTGCGACCCGCGGAGGAAGCCATCAGGATCGTGGCTCCCCACGTGGAGCCAGGTGGAAGAACCATCCGGGGCGGGGACGCGTGGTGTCTGGACGACAAAGACAGACGACCCCAAAGTGGAGGTGTTTGGGTACCAGGGGATGTACCACGGTGATGTACCTCTTAAAAATGTTTGGTACCTCTTTGGAGGCGCAGAACCAAACCGCTAGCCAATACGATCACAACAACCACGGAGTCGAGATCGGACGGCTTTGTCAACCGACGCCCGGTCGTCGACCGACGGCCCTTTGGGTCCCCTACGGTCGTCCAACGTTTTGCAGGGCTTTGCAGACTCGTGCTACGACTCGTAGGGAGGGAATGAACCACCCTGTCGGCCTGGCCCCTCTGGATCCATTCCCAGATTCCCTACAAGTCGTCGCACCAGTCAGTTTTTGGGGTTTCTGAGGAACAGCCTGCCGAAAACCGGAATGGAGTTGGGGTGATGGGAAGCATAGAGCTCAGATCGGTGGAAACGAAAAGAGGCCAGACATTGGTTGGTCCCATTCATCGGCTTCCATCCATCCCAAACTCCATTCCCAGGCAGGTCTTTCAGGGTTCAAGATGTGAACAAAAAGGTGCTTGGTGGTGGGAGAGTCGGACGAGTAACAGCCAAATTGGGTTTTGTGCCCAGAAGTTTTGGCGCTCACTCTTATCAACTTTTGAAACCCAAAGTTTGGCTGCTAGAGCTACTGTATATGTATGGAGTCTCTATCTGGTTTGGCCTCATTTTTTCCAGCACCGCTGTCGGCCCCGAGGTTTTGTAGAATGGTTTCTGCAGTGGTTGGACTCTAATAGCGTCCTTGCTCCGTTCATAGCGATGCCAGGAGCCCTAATAGCTTCTTGTTCCTAGTAGTAAGGCCAGGAGCCGCTTAGTATCATCCTTGCTCCTCACGTATCAACCCAGCACTGCTCAGCACCAAAGCGGAACCGACATGTTCGAGGCAGAACCAGACTTCTCCACGACCGGAGGATGGAGAAAAGTGGCCTCCGGTCGATAGAGACCGGTTGGCCGGTGAAAATGGGTGAGAAATTGTTTGCAGAAAGTGTTTGTCCTGGCGAGAAACATGTCATAGATGCAAGAGTCTTTCTGCTTCTGGTGAGAGACATCGCAATTGAACGGATAAGAAAGAAGGCAAGTTATAGAAGAAAAGTCCCAGCTCCAATGGGGAGGAGTCAAAAATACGTTTGGGAGAAGATCTCTGGTAGAATTGAGGAAGAAGTGACATGGTCCAGGAGACTTAAAAAGCATGTCTCCTAAAGGCGTGAGAATGGTCGATCTACTCAGGGACCCATTTGAATAGTCCCAGAATGCAGGTTTTGACTGTGCGATGTGTTCTTTAGAGTGCGTCAAGGGCCACAACACGTGGTGGACTTTAAGGCAAACGACCCCGTCAGCATGCACAGTTTCCTGATGTCCCAAGCCCATGACTAAGAGAAGTGCAGGTCCGATTCACAAGCAGAAAGCAGTGCAGTGCAGATGTGTGGTTGTATTGCCTTGCATGCACGACCAACGGTGCCAGACTCCCGCTAAAACAAAAGAATAACAAATACTGTCAATTTGGCCCGGGCCATACAAGAGGTCATTCCCCCCGAAAAGTCTTTTTCCTACCTAGGCGGGTGCAAAAATGTGTTTTCCATCACCTCTGCCATGCTTTGCTGTTGATATGTCCAGTCGGGTGAAATACCCCTTCTACACACTGATGCCACAAGCGCGCATCACGCTCCATGCTCAATCCTTCAAATGTGAAATCGCTTCGTCATCCTGCTCCAACATGACAGCTTCAATTGGGGTTGACAGCCTGACAGCGCCTGGCCAGCACATCTTTTTTGCACAGCCTCTGCAGAAGTACGCTGATGGTGAGACTTTCCTCATGTTCCCCACGCCTCGCCGAGAAGTTTTCAAATTGCAGGCGTGGACTGTGAGTTGCAAGAGGAGTTCCCTTCTGGTTGCTTGTCTGAATGAAGGTGTTTGCTACAGAAGTCTCATTAGGTCTAAAGTGTTTTGGGAGTTGGTTTATTCAAATATGGCTAGACAAGGGATGGCGAAGGGTAGCTAAGGCGTTCCTATTACGAGGGCAGTTTTGACACTCCTTGTTGGATTTCCTGCGGCAGATGTTCGCTGATGTTCCCGTGGCAAAACGATGTGGCTGCACTGGATCTTCAACAGCACACATCCCGATCCCAAAGGAATATGCTTCAAAAACATTAAAATGCGTGTTCGTTTCGACGCCTTTGGATTTCGACGACCTTCGTTTGTCCGTTGCATTCGTGTTGGTCATGCTGCCAGAAGATGACCACGGCTGCAAAAGGCAGCCCGGAGTGGCAAATCCTCGGTCAAGAGCAGACCAGCCCTGCTCCGCTGTTTACTCCCGTTCATCGTCCTAGACTGGGGTCGGCGGATCTCTTTTGTCGAAGCCAGGCAGGTTTTTGTTGGTGTCACTGGTGTTTGCTCGTGCACCATCTGGTGATTGTGGTTTCCTCCCACCGTGCTTCACGTTTGAAAGAACTTGACCCTACGAGTTTTTGACCCGTGTGGGACCGGTCGTCCAAGGCTGGGATTGGAAAGGACACCTTACGAGGCGACTTGACTCGCGACGGGACCGATCGGAGGGGACGCGGAGCGTTTTCGGCGTTTTCGATCTATTTTCAGTGCTCGATCTCTTCTCAGTGACCATCTACGACTTGCTATTTCACGTTCAGTCCATGTACTTTTCTTGATGGGTTGCCAACAATTTGTCGGAGGTGCAGGGTTGATTGCAGATGGAATTGTTCAATGGTTGGCTGAGATCTATCGACATTAGTGACCAATCGAATTGCCAGCCACTTGGGTCTGTTTTTGTGGTTGCAAGGGCAGACAGAATGAAATGCACTTGTTGCTTTGCCTTTGTCCTTCCCAAATTTCAATGGAAACAGTTCCTGACTGTGGAATCGCACCTCTCTCCAGAGACAATGAGTACACCACATCCAGGTTGAGTTGGTGAGGTCAAGACGGAAGTTGGAACCTGTTACACTGAAACGCTCATTACCGCGGTTTTGTGGTAGATTTGGCCCGTTTGTTAGTTATTGAATGAACTGCCCGTGTACTCTCTCATTTTGTCCCTTGTAGACCTCACATACTGTTCATTGTTCATTGTTGATGGTTTGGGCACAGGATGGATCCACTAAGTGGTTCATGTCTTTTTCATTGCCCTTGAGCTTTGGGGCGTTTCCATGTGGTTCTCTTCATGTGGAAACCGCAGCGGACTTCGCCGTGGTCCCTCCCTTCGCGCCAGGATGTCCGACCCATCTGTGGGGTCCACCTCCAAGGACTGGCAGGGAGAGGCGTGAGAACTCGCAGAGCCCCACTGGACTGGCCGGTCAAAGTGTGGTTTCCGACCTCCAACCCCCCCAGAAGTGCGGCAGTACACCTGATACCACTCCCCAGATCGGATGAACCTCTGAGACACCTACTCGACAACGACGTGTGTGACGCCCTCAACGCCCGCAGGAGAGCTACCATGATGCGACTTGGAGATGCACAATCAAGTGGACGTGACGAACAATAGGACGTACATTCTTTGTGCCAGGGTGAATGGTTCACATGCGACTGCAGTGTGTTCCAACCCTTTTGGAGGAGTGGCTCCAAATGAAGAAAGGACCTAACTCAGGGGCCTAGGGTTGCTTTTAGGTGACTCAGCTTCTGTGAGGTTTGCTGAACCCGTTTGCTTGAAAGAAGAAGTATATTCCATTTACTGGTGAAGATTACCGAGATAATTTGGTAGAAACAATCAAAAGTTGCACAGGATCATGAAACAGAGCTTCAGCAGGATACTTTTGAAGTGCCAAGCCCACATGTATTTGGATCAAACCATTTTGACAGGCAATGCATACCCAAATGGGCACAACATGTGCATGTTTCAACACAATAGAGGACACCAAAATGCGCAATAGAGGACACCATTCTTCTCTCACTGCTTGGCCCAGTCATTTCTACGGTTGCTTGATCATGTGAAAAAAAGCTCTCCAAAGATGATTCTGACGTTCGTGTCAATGAGCTTCTTCCCGGATTGATGCCGCAGGATGTGCTAGAAAAGGGGTGGCCCGTTGCCGGGTGGCGCCCCTCATCTGACCATCCGTCTCGGGACCGAACTCAGAACGACACTCTGTGTGTTTTCCCCAAAGGCCATCCACTACACACTGAACCCTCATGCCATGCAGAACATGGAGGGGAAGGCGCGGAGATCGGCAGAGAGGTTGACCACCTTGCTACCTATTTAATAGGTGTTTGCATAAGTTATCCAACAAATCGTGAGCCCGCCATCCATCGACCAGCGAAACTTGTTTCGCTTAGCTTATATGCAGATGAGGAAATTTGGGAGCCAGAAATTCCTGAAATTTGGGCAGTAGTACCACTCCCCTCACTAACTGCCTTTCCAGTAACTAGTCTTCCCATAGCAGCAAGTGATCTGGGAAATTATGCCAGTGTTTTGGCTATTCTTTCAGGGTTTTATTGTTGTCAGTGAAGATTGCCCTAGGACTGTGTATCAACTTGGAATGGCTTCAATTCTCCCGAAAGCCGCCAGTGTGTCGAAGAGATGCACCAGAGTATCCAAGATCGAAGATGACTAAAGAACTATATAATAGTGTTTGGGCTTATGGCTGGCATTATGCTTCAGCTTCGCATTCCATTTGGCTGTGTTTTGCGTTGTCACTTACTCAGGGCCCGGTCAAAGAATCATCACTTAACCTCCGCAATCGGCTGGCAGGGTGTTTGACACAGCCTTGGGTGCACGTCAAAACAGAGGGGACTGTCCACTTGGATCTTCGGTGGAAAGTGAACAGAGACTCCATGGTTGGAGGTGTCTCTTCACTTCAAAAACGAGAGCGGAGCCGGGTGGAGGCGCATAGTTAGCAATGAAGCTCAGCCAAGTGCTTCGTCGGCAATGAGGGATTGACAAGAACCAGGACCATTCTAAAACAACAACCTCTAGTAGTCCCCAAGAGACTCTTGCTTCGTCGGTCAGAGTGAGCCCGCGGCAACGTACTTTGTTCCACAACGCCCGAAGACCGTGGACGGAAGCCAGAACCGGTCACCTCACCCAGTCCACGTCCCAACTCACAACTCGACCGAGACATGTCGAGAGGTGCAGGAATGCCCCATGGGTTGGCTCGCGCTTTTGGTTCACCAGATGCTCATCTGCATGGGCGGCCTCACTGAACAGGCCCCCAGCATTTCGCGTTTCGCCCGTCTCGGATGGGCGAAACCAAAGAGTCAATTGGGGGGTTCGAGAAGATGCGGCGGAGAACGGGGACATTTTTGGGGTGATGGAATGACTCAAGTCTAACTCGACAAGGAACATGAAATAAGTTGTATCGGTCCACTGAAGGACCAATTGAGGTGCTTATTATGAGGGTCCGCTCGGTGGTGTCGAAGACGACCGACCGCGAGCTTGCGCACCACTGAAATGTGTGATCAATCCATTTCTCGGGTCCTATGCCAGTATATATATTATATATATATATAATGATGCCCTGTGCATCATTTTACGTCAGAAACTCAGTGTAGTGATGAGTCTCTTACGTGTGAAGAGTCATTTCACTTGTGGTGATCCTTTGATACACCTGATCATTGTGATTGTCACTAGCCTTTTCTGCTCATGGCTGACCAACCGAAAGGGAAGGGTAAATCCGGAAAGGGCGATGGAAGCGGACAACCAAAAGGTGGAGAACCCTCAGGGGGAGATCCCACCCCAAGTGGCCCGCCTCCTCCAGCTGTGCCGCCTGCGGCACCTGGAGCGGTCAGTACAGGCCAACCACCTGGACTTGTCCCACCAACACTACCCGCTGTCCCTCAAGGACAAGCCGGTCCAACAGCCGGACCAGGCCCAGCAGTTGTGCCTTCTCCCATGCAAGAGAAAGGCCAGTTCGGATTACGGGGTAGACGTCCCAGCTCGCACTTGCTTCATGAGCTTTTCTAAGCTCAGGAGAGTGCTGCGTTGGCACTACGTGCTGTTGACTCTAGCCTGCTTCTCATCGAGTCAGGCAGAACAGGTGATAGATCGTATAGGCATAGATGCCTTCAACGTGTACATCGTGTCAATTGCGCTCCGTGCTCGTCACGCATTGCTGGCCAGCATGCTACAGAACATAAACCGCTTGCGGTCGGCAGCGTACCAGCAAATCGACAACTCCATCAGGGGACGCTTGAACGCGTACAACGATGTACTTATCGACCCGATCATGGCTCGGATCATCTCCATGCTCAAGACCACTTACATCAACATTGGAGGTGACCCTTCCATCATGGAGTTCTTACCACCATACTCAGCAAACACCACACCGCCGAATGAGCTTTTGGCAGATGCTGCAGGTGCCGCGAACTGGTGGCATGGATTCCGTGTCGGGTTCACATGGGACCCACTCAATGTGGCAGGTGCCGAATTGAACGGCAATGCTGTAGACAACACTGTCCGACTGAACTATTTCGGAGGTGCATATGGTTTGCCCTTTCCACCTGGCGGCATCCCAAACATTGCTTTGTGGGACTCAATATCGCAGAGGGCTCAGAACACCTTCATCCGTGACGGAATCATTGAGATGGAGCGCCCTGCGATTAAGGCTATGACCTCAGTGAGCTTGGCGCCTTTCTTGAGAGCTTACATCAGGATTGGAACGCTGCAAGAGCCACTGATGGTGTGCATCCGGGGATTCTTTGACCCGAATGAGATCAGCAACCAGACATTAGCTGATCGGATGTACCTTCCCTTGGAAGTGGGAGTTCCAAACCCACCAGGGACTGACGCATGCCTGGTCTTCGAACGAGGAGCTGGTTGGCCTGCTTACGCAACGCCAGTCAATCCCACCATTGGCTATACTTACAGTTGAGTCACTTCAGCTCCCACTCAAGCTATCCGAAGCTTTCAAGATTGTGGGCAACGCTATTGCAGTGCCCCATGCTTTGCTGGCTTTGCTCTTTGCATTCCAAGCGGTCCTGCCTATCAAGATCGACTTCCAACAGGTCATTTGACAGTGCTGGGACTCCAGACTCACTGCAAACAATGCAATTGTGGTGGCTCACAACGGCTGGGTTCACATTATGCAGCACAACGAGTGCACTAAGCTCCTTCGACAGGAGGCACGCAACCATCCCGATGGCTTCATCAGTCTCCAGATTGACTTTGAGCACCACCGAACATGCTCTGGATTCTTCAATCCGGCTGCCTCCTTTGCGAAGTGCCTGCAATGCCTCTTCGAAGGGCCCAGGATGCTCCTGGGATCCTTTACACTTGAGCAACATAGCAGCAAGCATACACAAGACAGCACTCTCCAAGAGTTGCTGCTGCTTTCCAATCACTGGCAGATTCAATGTGGGTCCAGTGCAATCGGCACCGCCACCATAACCCACCAGCCGGCAGAGCACCAGGCCAAGAGATGCAAGACCACCATTGCAGCTGATATCTCTCCAACCATTCCATATGAAGTACAACAGCACTCCAGTCTCTCCCCTGCAACAAAGTGGCATCCTTGATCTCTTTGGCTTTCGCATGCATGAGCGTGTGACAACCAATTTCACGCTCCTCAACCCCAGCTGGCCTTTCCTTTTCCTGTTGGGCACCCGTCACCCAACATGACCATTTGGTTCATACCATCCGGACTACCACCAAGCAGACGGTCCAGATCTATCGGCAGATCCACCTCCATGGACTACACTCCATCATCACGCAGTGGATCCAGGATGACCCCAGCCAGGCAACAGTCATCCTTCACTTGCATGGGTCCGACCATTTCTGGGCTTGTTTCGCTCCACAAACTGTTGACAGGCATCAAACATTCGTCATTGCACAAGAGGTGTTCACGATTGCTGGTTTCAACCACATGCAAGAGCTACCAGCAACAATCCCCCTCAAGCATGGCGACATTCTGGTTATCCAGTCAACTTTCCAGAATAGAGCCGGAGGGCACCACCTTAGCGGAACACCGATGATTCTGCCAGCTGACGCCAATTTCTCTGACAGAGCAGAGTTTCCCACAAACACTCATGGGTGGATTGCAGCAGACGAAGTTCACTTCATCTGCCAGCTCCTACATTGGGCCACAGACCAAGGACCCCGATACTCGGCACCAGTCTATTGGGATCAAGAAGAGTCCGAGTTCACCGATGCACCCTTTGGTCCTCCGACCATTTGGACCAATGCAACCACTCACATGCCCATTCTTGTTGGCAACCACTGGTGCGCACTCGAGATCGTGCGCACAGATGATGCTGTATCTGTTACGACCATTCATGTCCCACGGCATCTTCACACAAGGATCATTTTGATCCTCGCTCGTCTTCTTGACGTGGCACCACACAGGATGCAAATCCAGCATGATCGCACAATGCACTCTCCACACCTTTGCGGATGGCAGCTTATTGAACGATGGGCAAACCAGATCGGTGTCCGAGACACTATTGCCATCAACGACAGCCAACTGCCGACCACGCCTGAGTTGCACGAACAAATCAGCATTGTACTGCAATCATCCATTGAAGATTGGCACGATGCTGGAGCATCCCCAGCGCTATGGGCTATGGCATCCAGGTTGCGAAGCCACTTCTTCCTCTCGTTGGCACGAAGGCACACACAAAGTGGGCAAGTTCAGCAGAGGCCAATCACCACGGCCTACCCCTTGAACTACCAGCCCAGGCCTCCACCGCTCCCGCAGCAGGATTTTGAGGAACACATCAACCAAGTTGCCGACAGAATTGCTGATCGCATCACTCAGCTTGAACTCTGCCCAGCATGGGCCACCTCCGACGAGATCGACTTTGCACTTGAAGCACCAAGGGCATTGCTGCCTGACACGCTCATTTGCTCACCGGCAGCCTGGGATGATACAGTTGACCGATTGCACTACCTCAATGCGCACCAGTTCCCAACTTCACCGCCTACAGATGGTCGGCACTGGATTCAAGCAGAGTGCTACAAAGTCCACAATCACGCACATCTCTTTCTGACAGCACCACCCCAGTCGGTCGGGAGATACCTCCCGCTCATTCAGCGGCTCAGAGCAGACATTGGCTACAATGGTCACCATTTTGTGCTCCATTGCATATCCCAGGCCGACATCCCAGACACATGCGGTTACCAGATTGTAGATGACATCTACAGCCGCCTCAATGTTCGGCTTCCACCACTCTCTATCAGCCAAGAGTTCGAGTTCATGCACACTGATCAGACATCCAGGCTTACAGCCGTCTGGAACAGAGCATGTCACCGTTACACACAGACAGGAGCGTCAGCCCACTTGCAGACGCTGGCACAAGTGCTCAGGCGCTGGCTGCTATTGCGAGTTTCTCGCCACCAGTTTCCCGACCAGACCATCGCCGCAGGAGCTGGCAATGATAACATGGACACATCCAGCGCGGAGCCGGACACACGCACTGCAGCCCAACCAAAGAGCCCACCCTCCAAGGCCTCAGAGCAGACCGACTACTTGTGGACGCATGACCCTTGGCTCAAAAAGAGTGGCAAGGCAGCTCAGGCCAAGTGGGAAGATCTTCTGTTACAAGATCCTATCCCTTTCCACGGAACAGACGGCCGATCCATGAGCCAAACCCATCGACTGCAGGTCACGGCTGCCCGGGCAGGAGTCGTCCTTACGACCAAACAACACGTCTCCGACCTGGTCCGGTTGGCTGACTCTTTGGACTTTGCCCTTTTGATCCCAACTGTTGATGGTGCCAAACCGCCGACCATGCATCAGAACTTTGAAGGGCCATATGAAGTGACGTTTGAAGATTCAGTCTCCAAAACTGTTTACAAGCGGCTCACCCTTATGTTGGTGGTGAAAGGGAGGTTGTCCTACAAGTTACCCGAGCCCAAATTGAAGCTGCAAACAGCGGCTATCACCGAGATCGTCCTCGAAATCGACTCCAGATTGACACCAAAGGCAGAATTTGAGAGGGCCAAAGACCACCCACTTCAGGCATTCCGACAGCTTGTCTCAGCCCTTCTCCCAGATCTTGAGAGTGCAACCACATTTTATGGAGTTCGAACTTCCAGACATCCAGGTGCTACAAAAGCCGACCAATGCATGCTGAAGGCTATCTTCTCAGCCCGGTCGGCCATTCTGGAGGCATCAGGACAAACAATCCTCCTGAGACGGGATTTCATTGACTTTGGCACCGGCCCGGAGGACACGACCATCCTCCCCAGATTCTGGGATGTCACAGGCCAAG